GATTTTCATCTTGATCAATGCTGATTGACAACATGGCAATAGGAAACACAAAAATCAATTTTTTTCCGGTGCTGAGCGGCTCCATTGGTTGAGCAGGCATACCTAATGATGAGCAGAGGCTTTAATAAGAAGTGTTTGTCCTGGATCTGATTCAGGGTTTCAGGCCATTGGCTGCATGTCTTGCAAACCTCTCTTCACCCTCTTTCCTGTCAAATTGCTGTTTTAGAGGCTTCTGGTAACACTCCTCTAGCCCCCTATCTTCTTCCAATCAATGAATGCATTATACGCAAGTGCTACCAAGTTTGAAAGCTGTTAAGAATGTAAGCCTCGAAATTAGTCATTTTCAGAACCAGTGAGGTGTTTTAAATGAAGTCAGAGGAAGCGGAGAGATTTATGATGCAATTTAATTATGTTTTTTTTCTAAAGCATGCCTGTCCGTGGTACATCCATGTTGTAAGACTTCTGTTTGATACAAAGCATGCTGCATTTAGAAATACTGTCACCCTTTTTGGAAACTTCATAGTTGAGGCAAGGAAATGCAAGCTGCCATTATAAGACGCTAAAGACATTATAAAAGGTAATTTCTGTGATCACATGGTATGACTTTAAGCTTATAAGGAAAACCCTGTTTGTCATGTTAATAATAAATGGGAACTCACTGCAGAAAAGCTAAAAATAGTCTGCTAACGTCCCATATTATAAGCTTCATTGAGAAACTGGAATCAGTCGAAATCATGTGACAGTCTGGAACGGATCTGACAAACTGCAGTATTCAGCAGCTCCCCTTTGAAGGTTTTTTTTTTGGGATTCTCTAGCTGTAAAGGTCCTGGAGGAACGACATGTACATTCTTACATCTGCATTAAGGCGACTGAGAGAGTTGCTCAGCAGAGAAATGTCAGAGTTCCCAGTTTTATAAATGGACTGAAGGAATGATGACCAGACTATTAAGCAGATGAAACGTCTTCACCCAATAGAAAAAAAAATATAAACAATTTTCCATAGGCTCAAATTTGACACTTTTCCAGAGATAATTCAGATGTCGGCAGCAAATTTCTGCTGGAAGTCATCATTAGACTTATAGATTCAAATTCAAAGATGGCCACAGAACAACAGGTATGTGGTAAAAGACATATCGCACATGTGCAGATGATGTATTTGTGGAATTTCAGTCGCAGTGACTCATTGGTGGCACCAAATGATCCTGTGCTTTCCTTAGAAACCCTTCGGTTTCCAGAACAGCTTATAGGATTTCTGCAGGAGAACTGCAGAAATCCTGATAATTAGGAAATATAGAACTTAGTCTTTAGGTGTTGACTGACATGCATGGACAATGGAGAAGTATGAGACGATTAACTGTGATTGAGACAGCTTGAACAACATGATCCATACACGTTTTATGTCAGCTTTCAACATGGTTGATTTCTCCTGATTTTGGATGAAAAGAATATTTTTGCATAAATAGGTTGACTCCAGTGGGTAGAAAACTTGCAGCTTTCCACCTGTGAGAATTGGGGTTGAAGATGAATAATTCAATAACAACCTATTTTTACATTTTGGCTCAGTGAAGGGGGTAGTGAGGTGAACACGAGCAGAAGAGCATGATGCAGAAGTGACTCAGAAATAAAATTAAGACGCTGATGGAAAAACTGAATGAAATAAAACTTATCAGTCATTCACAAAATTGTGGCATTTAGAGATATTGTGTTTGTACATCTATGAGACATTTCTGACTTTAGTCATTTGTCTGTGAGTCACTTGTTCACAACATAAGTAAATGGGAAAACCATTTGAAGCACAGTTTTGGGTTTCACCGAGTCAAACAAGCAATTAGTTTAAATGTCCATAAATTGTACAGTGTCCAGAAAATAAACTCTCCTCTCAATGAAAATGTAACATGCATTATCCTCACTGCTGGGAATAGATATTGTGAATTAAAAGGCTAGTGATGCATGGTATGGTACACCTTTTACTGTTATTACAGGAAAAAGTCTTTGGGGTCATCTTTGTAAACTATCTTAAACTCTGTAAGATTGGGCTAAGTGCATCTCTGTGCAAATAGGTGGGGGTGCACTGTATTGCAGAGCACATCTTATTTTAATTCCACTTCACATTTTTGTCATACTATGTGTTAGTCTATTCATAGCATATCATCTCTACTAAAACACATATAATTTTGAAGTATTGTATGATTCAAAATACAATGCTTCACAAATAGGACATACAGTCACCTATTTGTGTCTGAATGTGGAAAAGTTCAGAAATGTGTGAATAATTTTGCAATAATGAATGGACTTAGCTTATAGCTTAGCATCTCCTATTTACAGAACTGCTAAACCTTTAAACCACCAATCCCCTTGTATTTTTATATTAATTTTCATTAAAGGAGCAAAAGGATTTCAGGAATCCTTTTGATAAATAACTAAAAACAAATAAAAGTGGAGAGAATTAGCTAATTGAAGAAAACGGTGATCTTCTTATCCATAAGAATTAATTCCAACTTTTAAGTGTCATTATTTTTATAAATGTAAGACTATGGAAATTGCAATGTGACAAAACTACTTTTAATTTTCTTTGTTCTCTCAGCATGTGATCAGAGAATTTAAAAACTTGGGTTTATTTACCTGTTTACTGGAAACTGACTGAGATAAATGAAAACACTTTAGAACTGAGGAAACATGTGCATCTGTCTTGTATAAATATAGAGCTCAGCAGCAGCAGTGCAGCTTTAAATATTTCATTGCTTCCTTGCCAGAAATGAAGAAAGTGGGAGTCAGGAGGAAACGAGACAGCGTGAACAAGAAGCAGAGAATGATGGGGCTGAAGGGGCTCCGTTAGAAGCCCAAATGATAACAATGGGGGGATGTAGTTAAAAATAGGCATGCGGAATAAAAGCATGAAATGGGGATGAAGAGAGGAGGAGGGAAGGTGAAGGAATCGGAATCTCATTCCAATCCTTTTTTTATGCAAAATAAGAATGAACTATTTCTGAATTTCTCCAGACAAAGTCGAGGCTGATAAGAGGGTTATCCTCTTACAAAATGCTGCAGAAATCTGAGTCACTTCAGTTAGAGGCAACCAGCAGGATGTGACAATAACTTAATATTTGATGCTATTGCTAAATCAAACCCACACATAAAATTCAAATTTATGACAAAATACATATCAAATTAATTTGGAAACTTAAGTATCTAGAGGACAGTCTATGTCCAGTGAAAGTGTTGGGCTTGCTATCACTATCAGCTGCTTTGTTGCTGCTGTAAACTGCCCTTCCATCTGCCTGCTTGCTGTTGTGCTTCTTGCTTTCTGTGAAGCATGTTGTGAGAGAGACAAAGGTTAACACTACATATATGAGGAGCTGCAGAGGCAGTACAGCACGAAAAACAACCTACGGCATCAGATATACAAGTACTGATCTGCAGACTGACCTACAGGAATCTATTCACAGATAAACAAGACACATATATATCCACACCACTTTCCACATGCTGGTGCTGCCTTTGTTCTGTCAGGGCTTCACAGTGATGGATGAGTCTGAATGTGAAGCACATGGCGGGTCATTACACAAGGCTCATTGGAGGCCTCCCTCATTCCTGGCACCGACAGAGAAATGAGCTCCTTAATAGCATGAGATACCATCAAAGAATGGCAGTGACGGAGCATGCTAACACCTTCCTCACACACAGCTACAAGAAACAAACAGATGTGGCAACATCCTGCAACACAGGACCATGTTTCAGAGAAACTGTTGTGAAAACAGATCACAAAAATGACAGTGGGCACTTGTCAATTACATGTATCCTGATTCAGTCACTGGAGCATCCAGTAACGATCAGAGAGATTTTACAATAAACACTTATACACATGTTTGAGAATTTGGTGATCGTAGGTAACTTACCCTTAATCCAATTAAGCTTCCTTTCTATTAGTACTAATGTCTAAATAAAATCATTCTAGGACAACAGGATAATACACAAAACGAAGCAGACGAGGAATGCCAGCTATGGGTACTTCAAATTACTTTAAATCTGCTGTTTGATAAAATTCAGTCTGATGAATCAAATAAAGCTCTGAGTTTAAGTAGGGATAAAGGTCCAAACGCATCAGAGAGCCTCTGTTTAGAAATTAAACGACTGATTGCCAAATAATTTCTGACTTATACTTTTCTTGACATAAACTAGACAGACATGGACTTAAGCAAAAACACATGGAGGTACAGTTAAAGTGTAGCACCAAGTGAGATCAAATTGGCTACTGGCTGCGACAGAAGACAAAAATTAAAAACTGAGAATCATGCCTTCACAAAAGAGACACAATTGTTAAACTGGCAAAAGGAAACTTTAAGAAGTTTGTTTGCATTTTGCCACAAGCTATGGAGGAAAATAAATGCACTGCACTGCACATCAGGCTTACCTCCACAATTGTAGTGGCAACATCCTGTCACAGGGATGGTTTAAATCAAAGCGTGTTTACTGTATCTGGCCCTTCTCTCACTGACAGAGCCATTACTATGACATGTGAATTAAAGCTCTCTCATTTACTGACAAAATATGACTGTTTAACAAGCTGGACAGACATTTTTCCCCTTCAGCAACAGACAAAATCCATCTAGTGATGCTAATGTCCTGAATACAACAGAGCTCACATTAAGGGAACACTACAGCCTAACTGAGGACAGTTAGACAGGAGTGACTGTGTCCTCGTCCTGCCCCATAATCCTGCCGCCTGAGGTCACCTCAGTCAACATCACACACGAGCTCCTCACTTTCATTTAGGGAACAAACAGAGAATGTTTCCAGCTTGTGTGCCAAGACTCCTTCTACAGCGATGCTGCAAATAAAATTAAATGGTAAACGTTTAAGTGGAGTCAATGAGCTAAATGTTGTGGAGTATTTTTATTTTTTTTAGTTTTAGATTTTTAGATAGCAAATACAATATATATCCTGCTTCTTGAATGTATGTGTTGTCCACTGCTAGTTATCACGGCCCCCTGATTGCTAACCTCTTGAAATGACTGAGCAGGGTGCCAACCAGCTCCCCGATGCGGCTCTCGTTGGCAGGCACCATGCCCTGCAGGCACACCACGAGATCCCGACTGTCCTTGGTGTGAAACACAACCAGCTGATCCTTCCCAGGGGACACGCTCAATCCTGTCACCTGCAACATATAAACACAGAAGATAAACCAGAGCCAACAGAGAGAAAATCATATAGAAAGTCATAAAACACAAAAATCTAGACCGCAGTCATATCAACAAGAGGCACACAAGTAACAGGAAATAAATGATTTGATATAAACAGGTTAGAAGAGTTGCACAACAGATGCTACCTCTATGCACACATGACTGGATTCAGTAAAAAAACAAAACTGCTGAAGTGCAAATCTGCTTTTCCCCACATAATATCAAACAACTATTGAGTCAGTGAGGCTGGAACAAACTAAAGGACTGCACCACTGAGCAGGTGTTGAATCTGTTGTCTTGCAGGCATTTGGTGGGAAGTAAAAATCTTGGCTGGATTTTCTCTGTGTGGAATAAGTCCCTGTGAACTTCAGTTGCCTTCAATCAGCAAAAAAAACCCATCCATCTTAGCTTAACTGGTTGTCCTAAATTGCTCTTAGGTCTTAGTATTTGAATTACTGGTTGTCTTCTCTGTGCATCTCCATGTAACCCTGTTGTTGAAATAAGCTACCAAATAATTGTAAAGTGGAATGAAAGTCATCATTTGTTTTCATTTTATATAGATGTGTGCTGTATATTTTTATTCACCTCCTGTACTCCAGCATACGATCCAGTGCAACCAACTGAGCTCAGACAACATCAGATAAGACCAAAGAACACAGCAGACAGCTCAGGGGAAAAGCTGGAGAAGTTTACTTAAGTTTGATTACTTTGGAGGAGTGGTGGAGATCTAAAGATCAGGAAGAGGATCTAAAATATACTGCTTAAAAAATAAAGGGAACACTCAAACAACACAATATAACTCCAAGTAAATCAAACTTCTGTGAAATCAAACTGTCCACATAGAAAGCAACACTGATTGACAATCAATATCACCTGCTGTTGTGCAAATGGAATAGACAACAGGTGGAAATTATTTTCATATTTATTTCATTCATTCCGATGAATGAAATAAGATTAATTGAGTGTTCCCTTTATTTTTTTAGCAGTGTATATTGTGCCAAAATTTAAATCTATTTACAGGATTTTTAGTGACTAAAGCCACTAAAACATGAGCACACTTAGCAGGTCGAACATATTTTTTCTTCTTTTTTTTTTCCAAAAAGTGCTTTGTTTTTCCAAACAAGAAACAATTTTAAATAACTGTGATTTGTACATTGACTAATATAATAAAACATTTTGTTCATTTGAGAAGCTATACGCTATATGTTTTATTCATCATATTTAAATTGTTCAAGAGAAACTTGACCAAGAAGATCACAAATATAATTTATAAAAATATACCAGCATGAAACAAATATACATAGGAAACAAACAGTAAGTTGTGATACACTAATCAATCTGCTCTTCCCTTGATCAGCCCTGACTGATGATCTATATGTCAAATAGTGGGGAAAAAAGAAACAACTAAAACTTAAATGTCTCACTTTTCTTGGCCAATGACGCAGGAAAGCATAATATGGTAGCACTTTATTTGACGGGTTGTAAATAAGACTTGATGACACTGTCATAAGCATGACATGACATGTATGATACTTTATGACATAAATATTCATGAACGTTCATGACAGGTGTTATGTCATGCTTATGACATTGTCATGTCAGTCTTATTCACAACCCGTCAAATAAAGTGTTACCCATAATACATACATTAAAAAAAAAACTCCCATCACATTTTCTTTCACTGTCACAGTTTAATCAGTGAATTAAAACAGTGGTTTGTTAGAAATCATCTCTCTCTTTGAAACGAGTGGTTATTGTCATCCTTCTGTCAGACCGTGCAGCTAAATGCCATGTATTGCTCTTCTATCTGTACTACCAGACTACCTTATTAACAAATCACTCATACTGAACCAAAAACAATTTACATTATGTCCTATTTCTGCACCACCATGAGTCTGAAATAATGCCAGGAATGCATTATTGTATTATTATCACTTCAAAGAGGCACTCTGTGGTGCCTGATAATGAATGGAAAAGATTTCGCTCAGAAACAGAGTCAGCATGAGGAGTTATAGAATTATTGATCAGAATCCCAGGGGACCCATCTTATTTCACTAATTAGAAACCTCAAACCACATACCAGTGGAGAGAAGCCAAGTAAAAGGAGGAATCCCTGTTTTGTTGTACAAACTACAGGAAGAAGCCAATATCTTCACAGGAAAACACTTCTTAAGAGGAAAAAGGAACTCGGCTTTACATCTCATTAACTTCCTTTCCTCTGCTCTGGGTGCTTTTATCTCTTTTTTTGTTGTTGTTGTTGTTCAACTCATCTCTTCCACCTGCTTTGTCATTTTTCCTCTTCGATTTTTCCTCACTTCATTTGTCTTTGTAAGATGATTTACAGGTGATGAGTGTTGCAGAAATAGCCACAGGGTAGCAAGCAAGGTACATTACCACCCATCAACAGAGTTCGGCCCCGCAGGAAACGTTCTCCATCAGAGGAAGGAAGACGGGCAGAGGCAGGTTCATACCACCAGCGTAATAAGAATCAAAATGATGCATGTGGCTTCAAGAACCACGGCTCTCTGTCTAACAACAATCAGGTAGGTACAAAAAGGTTGTCACATCTACATTTATAGTGAAAGTCCAATTCCAAGGAACAAAAGTTTATGGTCCAAAGAGTTGAATGATGAACTTCCTGGATTCATTTCCATCTCATATTTTATATAAATTCACAGAAACCCAATTATTTAATCTGTAGGAGATTTTCCACTGCTCAGCTGCTGGTCATAAATCTTACCTAGCAATGTTTCAAACTGCTGTCAGACTCAATCAAGACAATGAAGAATCTTCTCTGTGCTGGACATTTGTTCTGCTTCGTTTTTCCTGATAACTAAAACCTTGACACACTGATAAAGGTCTTGTGTATCTCAGACTGATCAATATGACCAGAACAAATTGGCTTTGTATATATATATATATATATATATATATATATATATATATATATATATATATATATATATATATATATATATATATATATATATATATATATGAATATGGACTGGAAACCCCGAGATCAAAGTGGGAAACACCCCCAAAGGTGGTGGAGAACACCAGAGCTAAGATCCTGTGGGACTTCCAGATCCAGACAGACAGAGTGGTAATGGCAAACCAACCAGACATTGTCGTAGAGGATAAACAACAGAGGAAAGCCGTTGTGGTAGATGTAGCAATACCAAGTGATTGCAACATCAGGAAAAAGGAGCACGAGAAACTGGAGAAATACCAGGGCCTCAGGGAAGAACTGGAGAGGCCTGGAAGGTGAAGACCACAGTGGTGCCTGTGGTCATCGGGGCCCTCGGGGCAGTAACCCCCAAACTGGAGCAATGGCTACAACAGATCCCAGGAACAACATCAGACATCTCAGTCCAGAAATGTGCAGTCCTTGGCACAGCCAAGATACTGCGCAGGACCCTCAAGCTCCCAGGCCTCTGGTAGAGGACCCGAGCTCAGAGGATAAGAACCACCCGCGGTGGGTGAGAAGGGAATATATATATATATTTATATATATATAAAATTATCTCAACAAGCTTAAGAGAATTTCTGCTCATTTTTACAAAACAGAAAAAAGAATGCATCCAGCTGATCAAGGCATTATATTTGATCGGTGAAAGCTGTTATCTGTTTACACAAATTTTGTTTAATTTTTGATATTTCTCCTACAACTAGTATTTTTGGTGCTTTAAAGAGGCTTACAGAAAAACTGGGAGAGAAAATAGATGCCTCTAAGCATCAGGTAAAAAAAAAAAAAAACAATTTAATGTAACTGTGTTTAAGAACACCCACGTATTTTAAAGCAAAAAAAAAAAAAATAATCCACCACCAGGTAAAACCTCTCCTTCATTTAAAAAGTGCTCTCTGGTCTGAAGTGCTCTGCTTCATGGATGTCACAAGGACATAATTTGAATAGCAGGTTCTCCCAGATTAACCTTTTTGGTTATGCAACCAAAATAGAAGCCAGCAGCCCACAACAGAAAGATCAGTGATTAAATTATTTTAATATAATGAGGGAGGCTTAGCAGCCATTCTTGCTGCAGAACTGAGAGCACCAGAGAGACTAGCCTGGACGTGGAGAACAAAGTTCTGCAAACGACCTCTGCAGTGGATGGATTATAATCTAAGCCCTGCTGCATCCAGCAACACCTTTTAGTAACCTATTTTTAAAATACCAGATTTTCTTAAGTGTATAAAAATAGACTTCAACGCGATTATGCTGCATATTTGATCCATTTGGAGCTGAATAAAAATAATAAAATAAAACAAACAGCAGCAAATGAAAACAAGGGCAAACATTGGCATACGGGAGTGCGATCAGTACACATACATGAGCAACATCAGCTGATCCGTTCTGTGGTCGGTAACCATGACAACACTGTCTCCCGGGAAGTTGGCATGACAACAACGGGAGGACAGCAGAGAGATGCGGGGCAGTTAGGATTAGATGGGGAGCTTGGAGAGGTGATGGGGAGAGGAGAAATGTGAAAAAAAAAAACAAGGAAACCAATAAGATGTCAAAAACAGCAACTAAAACTGCTGATTAAAAGGAAATATTTCTCTAAATTAATAGTTTAATCTCAACCCACAGGTGTTTACTGCTGCATAAATCATTAGCTGGACAGTTGTTGGTTCCTCACAAGCTTATTACCCATCTATTAGGCCAGCTGGTGTCTTTACTTTGCAGTAAATAGTCACTGTAGGGCAGCCAAGGAGATGCTGTGCTGGTGGCCTATCAGTGCTAATCAACAACCAGCTAACTGCTTTCCCCTTTATTTGACCTTTTCTAATCAATAGCTCCATGTCACACTGCACCGGCTCCCAGCTTACATCTCTATATATTCTGACTCACAAACACACACACACACACACACACAACCACGCACACACACACACACACACATACACACACACACACACATACACACACACACACACACACACACCTTTCCTCTCACTCCTACATCAGCACTTTTCACCTTGACCAATTCCCTTCCCCTCACAGCTTGCCTTTTATTGCGTGGAAAGGTTTGGGAGTTTTGTTTACACAAAGGCAGTGATGTCAAAGCAATTCAGTTAAATTCAAGAGACTTTTTATATCGTCACTTTAAGATAAATGGCACCCCAAGGCAATTTAGATGATCTGGCTCATAATCAGGAATATAGAAATAAATAATAAATCAAATTCAGTGCAATACAACCTTCTAATTCAATTACTGTTATAATAAGGCAACAGGTCTATCATGTCAGGTGGCAAGAAATGTTATCTATATGTTATCAATTTCTTAGACTGCTGAGAAAGACTTTTCAAAAACTATTTAAAAAGGTAAGTTTTATATTCCTCTGTCTCATAACGGAGTATTTTTGGTTAATTTGCAGATTTTCAATGATATAACTTAATCCACTCAAAGTGACTCATTTTGTTTTTAATTAATTTGACTGATGAAACACCATGGCAAAAAAAAAGGATATTTTAGTCTTGCTTATACGAACTAATTGTTTGTTAATTTGATCTGTCGGATGGTGGTTTGGGTTTTTGTGGAGACTTTGCTAACAAAACTACAGATGATTGTGAAAAAGAATATTTAAATGTTTTGAGCTTTGTGCATATTGTCATTCTCGTCTGTCAGTGAGAGTTATGTTGATGGCTGCCTCTGTGCCTTCTACACTGTTTGTGTTTGTGACAGTTTGTCCCTGAAGGAACAATAACCAAAAACCCTGTTAACTCCTGCAACGCGTCTTTTCTGACACCATCTGTCTCAACTCAATCCGCATACATTTCCTCCAGATGCTCTGATGAAAGATTCGGGTTTCCACTTTTCAGCTCTGTAATTCCTTCTTGTCATTTCGTTAGACTGAACACTGCCATGTCTCATCACAGCTCAGTGCCCACCGGCCTCAGATCACACTTATTCCTGCTTCTGCCTCACAGATTACTGTCTTGCACATTTCCTCTCTATCCATGACCTCCATGTCAGTTTTGCAGGGAAAAAAAGCAGTGCAAGAAACAGAAAAAAATAAAATAAAATCTCTCCTTTCCACCATAATACCAACTTAAAAATAATAAGCTGGAGTTTGCTCTTCTAGATTGAATTTTAAGTCCATTAGGTTAAGTGCACATAGATGGGTATTTTCTAAACTGCCTTTTTTAATCAATGTCTTACACAAAACTTGTCAATTTCTTTCAAATTTAAAAAGGTACCATTAAGTATGCCATTCATAGCAGAAATGTACAATTAATCATAAGTAATTGCTCAACTCTTGCTGTCACCACAAAGAGAAAGAAAAAGAAAATAACCAGAAGATTTTTTTTAAGTTATTGTCTTTGAAGATTTCGCTTTGGATTTTGGATGTTGCCTGAGTGATGTGAATGTCTACCTCCTCTGAAGGGCGAACATGTTTGTTCTGTGGTTTTGTTTTTTCCTCTGGTGAATACCTGCTACAAAATGTCTGAGAGCAAATGCCACTAACTTGCAGGAGGCATCTGAAAGTGAAATGACCAAAACTGCAGAGGTATAAAAGGCTAAGGGGCATAGTGACCAGAACCCCTGGCAACAAAAATAGATAAAAGAAAATAGAAGTTACTAATAAATTTAGGCTTAAAGAGCCACTTCTTTTGTGCAAGTTGTAAACAAATTCAATAAAGGGAAACTGGTTGTTCCGAGCAACAACTCTGAACTTACAGCCAGAGCTATAATGAAAGGATTCAGATCAAAACATATTTATGTGTTACAATGGCCTACTCAGAGTATGGATCTAAACACTTCTTATTTATTGTGACTGAGTTTCTGATGAGCTCTTTGTTTACTACCCCTTGTGTGCTTAAAATAGGATATAAAACGGGGGGGTGTCATACATTGTAGAGGGGGATGCTCTTCATGGGTTTGTACTGCTTCAGGGGATCCATTTTATACAGGTGTCGGTCAGAGATGAGCAGAGCCCGGTCCTCCGCCTTGTGAAAACGGTTGATCTGGGAAACACAAAGCTCCTCGTTAGTCATTCCCCAGAGATGCATCATGAGCTGGCAAACAGGCTAACCTCCACACCCTGGAGGGAGATGATGCTCTCCAGTAGAAGGTTTTATAGCTGTGCACACATGCGGATAAATGTGGTGAGCTGAGGACCGATGATTTTATAGCCTACTACCTTTCTCACGTTGCAGGAGAACAAAACTCTCATGAACTTGTCTTTCCGCTGTAGCTCGCTGGAAACAAGAGTGAATGACGAAGCGGTGTCAGGGTTGTCACGCTTCTGCCCGACACAAAGCAAGAGAAAAGAAAATAGTTTGAAGCAAATCACAGTCAGATCAGATGTTACAAGTGCTCTAACATATTTATATTATTTCAGATTTTCCCATCTCAAATTTCCAGATTTCTCCATTAACTAGTTTATAATCGAGGCGAAGCAATTAACAGTAACGAAATATTCAAGTGTATTAAAAAAAAATTAAGTAAAGATTATGCGCTCTGCTATTAAATTGCAACAAGAAACCATCCTACATCCTACTTTTAGTAGAAACTTGCAAACTAGGCTTATAAAAAGCTGATTAAGGCAAACAAAATTTTAAATGTAGCTGTATATTTAACTACATATCCACCGCCATGTATGATGAAAATCATCATTACAGTAATTGTAATTTGCGGAACTAAATTTTATTGTCTTTCAACTAGTGCATTAAAAAGGCAAAAAGATAAAAAGGTTAAAAACATAATAACACACAAGCACAAGAATAACTAAGAGCATTTTTGCATTGATTTTAAATTTTACATACTGGCAACATTAAATATTATTCATCTGTTTCTTTATCTTTAGAACGAATTTAATCCAATTGGTTCTCCTTCACCAACTCACCACATAGTTTCCCTCCCAGGCTCTCTGCAAGCCCAAGTCGGCCCTCTGGCCCTTCAGGGCCTCCAGGCTGGCTACCTTGGCCCTGACCTGCAGAGTCTCCTCTGGAGAAAGGCCTTTGATCAGTGTCCATGCCCACCACCTGACGGAAACATACCAAAGGCAATTCTAAAGACCAAAAGCCATCACAGAAATGAAAAGTTTCTCCATCAAGGCCTCTGCTCAAAGCTTTCATTCTGTCGATGGGTTAGCAGACACCAGCTGCACTGCGCTATTTTTTGATGCCTTTTCACTCATAAATCCCGACAGCCAGCATGATTCTGAAAGAAGGCTAGCTATCTATGGATGCCTTAAGGGTGAAACAAAAAAACTGATAAAAAGACAAAAGACAGAGATGAGTTCCTGATGGAGGAGAAATAAAATCGATACCCAGCGTGAGCCTGAAGGAAACAGGCGTAAACAGCTCGAAAAGTGACACATCTGGTTCTTAGTAACCCTCTGGACCATGTGTTGTTTACAATGAAAAATTTCCTTTAAGCAAATTAAGCATCATGTCCAAAATATTCATGACCTCTCTTTATTCTATGAGTATTTGGAGATTTATTTTTGAGTTTCACTTCAAACCGACAGTTGCTTCAGGTAGATATAAACTACACCCAAAACAAACTTATAAATGCCTCAGACTGAAACTCTGCTGCAAAATCACACTGAACAAATTCAGAAGTGAATTGTGAGACTGAGTGATACAGAGAGAAATCAGTAAGTGACCCAAAAAGTAATTTTTAGCTTAAAAGCAACATTTGAACTTTTTATTTTATCCTAGCTGTTAACATTCCAAAAGTGGGATCCAAAACTAAGCCTAAATTACATCCACTAATGCTCAGCGACTCACTCTGCTACAGCAGTGTTGTGCGTTCAGCATCTGTGACTCTTGAGACACAGATCAACACCCGCCCTTTCAAAATGAGTCCATAAATCAGACCGATAAATCAGATCAATGTAGCTTTTATCTGGAATTGTTTAATAACAGCTATGAAAAACCAGAAATGTGCAACTAGAATAAAAGGAATACATATATTTATTTAATTCACTGCTCTCCAATGTTTTTAGGAAAGAAACGAAGCCGTTTGCCACATGACATCAATTCAGAACTGTCTCATCAGTGTTGTCAAATTGATGAATAATTACTAATATATTATCTAACTGACCCAGAACTGACCTTAACAGGTAAAAAAAAAAAAAAAAAGCTATGCAACATCCTAACCTCACAGCAGGATTGATAGTAAGAGAAATGTGTTGTACACTGAAAATGATAGTCTTTAGCAACAAATCTTAATTGAATAAAACTAGCATTAGCAAATGCTAGTTTTACAAACACTACAGATTGGAAATTGGCCTCAGACCTCCAGATGGCGCATCACCAGCTGTCCTGGTTGAATACCTGTTATAGATGCTCTTCATTGCCTCTTCAAACTTGCGCAGGACTTTAGGAGGTGTCGGCCACTTCACATGTCTGCCATGGTCTTTCATGGAGCGAACATTTTTGAAGCGACGGTTAACCTCGCGGATGTAGGACTTGACCTTGTAGCGTCGGTAGGCCCGCAGGATTATGAGGGCGGCGCGCATCCGCCGGTATCGCATTCTGGCAAGAGTGCCCCGCCAAACCTGGAAGACATGGGAATGGCGTAGATTTAAAAGAAAAAAGTTAGCATTGACAAAATATATTTAATCTTTTGAAGTCAATTACTTTTCTTTTGGTTTAGGAGATACCTGAAAAACAAATAAATAAAAAAATAATAAAAATGTACAGGCAAAAATGTTAGCAAATATAAGGTAAATTTTTTATAATCAGAGACATCTTGCTGAAACTGCTGCCATAAAGACTGAAACAGCAGGCATTTCAACAAAGGTCAGTGTAAGTGAAAGCTATAGCCCACCAACAACAGTAATACAACAAAGGAAATTTGAACAGAAAGATCATCCTCCACATGTTAAAGACGAACATACAAGTATAAAACAACAACATACAAGGTAACAAGACAAAAAACTGAGATGAGAGAGGAAAAAAAGAGTAAACTGCATATAGAAGAAAATGATAATCTTACAAATATTAAAAGACACAAGAGAGAAGCAGAACTGCCTAGAAACAAATATAAACTGAGTGGCTATCAGATCCTTTATAACATCAATAATTGATGCAAGGGGGGACCCAAGAGAGTTATAACTCCTAATCTAGCCTCTCTAAAACCAGCACCATATGCTCTGCTTTAACAGTATTCCCTCATTCTGACACAAGCACCAAATCTGGTGTTAATGTGTCCCCTAAATAATCCCTGGAAGCCACTAATCCACTGACAGGGCCCTAAACATCAACAGTTCAAAGCACTATGGAGGGTGTGCATTGAAGGCACTCTTCTGAATACCATTTCAGTATAATGCACTGTAATCAAGGAGATCATGAATATTTAATCCTTTACACTGAGGGGGAGGTGGGTGGCAAAGAAAAGGCTTTCTTCTATTTGCATATTGAAACTGCGGAGGAGGCAGTTTTCACCTGATGAGACCAGCAGTGTAACAGCATGCAGAGAACAAGATGGATCACTGAAGACACAAACAAATCGATCAGAGGCTGCAAATATAAGTGTTAAATTTCTGTTTATCAGTGGAAAATGTCATGTTGGAACAAAAAAAAAAGGAAAAAGGTAAAAAGCAGCTGCACACACAGCACAGCCACAAAAGTATTCATTATCGACAGTAACCTGAGCCACCCGAGTAAAAAAAAATCAAATTTACGACAACAAAGCCAAACTGCTTTCTGAGATTTTGGCTTTTCAGACCTTTAAGTTTGTTCAGTCATGTAATGTGAATTAAGCTGTGGTCAGACTGGTCTGTGCAGATAAAATCCATAAAAAATAGGCCAGTGTGGTACAAATTAAATAGGCTGACCATGGAGGAAAATGATTTCCAAGATTGCTCAAATGTTTTGTGATTCTAATCAGAACAGAAATTTGTATCACATCCAGAATTAAATTACTCTCATTTCTTTTAGTAAGGCTTGCGATTTATTTTCTGTTCATGCAAATCATCCCACATTCACAAAAAAATCCTCCCTCCATTGCTGTGTAGGCTGAATAATGAAGACCTTGTCCTTCATTTCTGAAATGCTGCAATGTTTCTAATGCATCATGAATAAAAGAGAGAGATAACTGAGATGACTCTCCCATGTGCTCAGGGTGACGGCAGTGGGAGGAGCAAGGTGAACGTTTTTGACTGTTTTCTGGAAATAAGGTTGACATATTATTTCCATTTCAATTTTGAATGTAATCACTAAGCTGCTGTAAATCGGGCTCTCGCAGTTTTAGGTGAAGGCGCTAGGTCAAGCCTCACTATCAAAATATTGCTGTGAGAAATAAAGGATTCAGAAAGCATTGACAAAAGGATGACATTGCTGATGTTAATTCATTAACATCCAAATGTTAAATATGTTCAAAACATGAAGAATTTTCACCTATGTTCGAATTTTAGATAGATACATGTGCATCAGCCTTGAATGCCAGCATAGTTCTTTAAAATCTTGCCAAATTTTTTGTTAGAAGTTTTATATTCTTTGTACTTCTATGAATAACATTCTTTTATTATTTAGACAAAAATATCAAGTGTCTAAGCACAAGACCCACCAAGACCCAAAACAAGAGTAAACCAAGGGTAGAAAGTAGATGGACTGGTGTTTACCTTAAACATGATCTATTAATTATCGACACTTGACAAGTATTACAGGTGGCATTAGACATCACTCCTTTTTAGCTGTTTCAAAAAACTAGGATCCTCAAACTGCTTTTCTAATCTGGACTGGCCTATAATAGTCAATAGAAAATCTAAAATTAAACATAAAATAAGTTTATTCTGCACACAAAGCCAAATATACTACATTTATGTTAAAACATCAGCTTGCACTGCCAAAAGCTGCTGCAGTAGCTTCTTTCTTTGGATAGCTACATTAGCACAGTTCCCGGTGAACTAATGCTAGAAAGAGAAACCAAGAAGATGCAGAGCTTTTAAATAATAGATGGACTTTTAAGTATGGACTGCATATCAGTATCATTCTGCACGTTAATAATATTGAAAGGACAATTTAGAATGTGATATTTCCAGTTATGTATATATAGATATTTTGCAAGTTGAAAAGATATTTAGCCTCACTGCAGTAGCTGCTTTTAAATTTATATTTTGTTTAAATGTTTTGTACTTTGTTTCAAGTTGCAGGATGCTCTCTTGTCTAAATTTTCCAATCCTCAAATGGAAACAAAAGAACAAAACAAAAGTGCCCAATTGGGGAATCAATAAAAGCTCATGAAATATTTTGGCTGCCTAAGGCCCACATGGTGCACAGGTCTTTGCCAGATCAACAACTCTGCTTAGCGAAGTCATAAGTCACTAATTACAATGTGACTGATGTCAGTGGTAAGAGGTGATACAGGGGGATAAAAAGAGCATGATGAAACAGATAAATGAGTTGAGAGCAGACATAAACCCATTGCGGTGTATTTGGAGCTTCATTAGAGTGTGATAGGCACAGGGACTGTGCAAAAATGGTGGGGGTGCCTACAGAAACCCCACAGTTAGACACAACAACGTTCTGCCACAGAGTAGCACTCTGGCTCCAACGATTGAGCCCGACCGATGGAGATGACACCCAGGGGGTAAGAGGATAAATCAGGCCTGTAACGAGGCCTCTGACGGTCTGCTGCCTCAATCTTTGGGCCAATAAAGCCATCTGATCATTAAGGAGGAGGTCCTCGCCAAGCTAAGGGGCTCTGGGTTTACGAGCCTATCAAACCCAGATTGGGGTTCTATTTCTGTTGTTACAAAGACTGTTGTTTGGGTTGAGAAATTAATATTAAATAAAAGCTGTAGGGTTTCTGTTGAGACACTGAGCTCCATAAAATACAGCACAAGTCTCACTGTGAGCTGCTATCATTGTTAGTGTAATCACTGTCAGTCTATTCAAAGAACCTTTCTTGACATGCAAGAGATCTTCAACAACTAGGAGAGCTGGCATCAGTTCTGGTACTTGAAAACCGGTACTATGTGAACACTATGGTTAAGTAGGCATCTTCTTTTTAAGAGGAATAAACAGCAGGGAATCTAAAAAGCCCTACCACACTGCAGATTACCCCAGGCTATAAATACAATGAGGTGCTGTATTTGTGAAGGTAAACACTTGCCACTACTGTACACAGACCAGTCTAAGGTATTAAAAACAACTCCTTTATGGGATTAGTAAAAGAAAATAAATGTAAAAAAAATTGCACTTTATTCTGAGAAGGACCAATAGGAGGGCTGGACCTCTATCAAGTGAATGACTTTCCACGTCCTCAGGGGACATCGAACTGCTTTTTAAATGACAAACTCAATAAGGGGGGCGGACTGAGGGGGGCTAATATCAGGATTGTATGACAGAATCTGGTGAAGCTGCGAGGTTTGCTGACCTCTCACTGTCAAAGGGAAACACTGGGAAGAAGCTGAGGGCAGCAGTCATTATCATAAATCAATGACGGTCTCCTTTGAGTGGCACACTCACCAGTAACCCACAGTGGTTCCTCATCCCCTTTACTCTCTGCATTGGGTTTAAACTTTTACCTCAGGGGTAATGCCCTTCAATGATGTGAAACAAATGTGTTCAAACTGATTTGAAACATTGCAATCTCATTAAAGAGGTGTTATTGGTCTTCATGCAGGCGAACCTTAGATTTTGCCAGAGAAAACTCTTATCCACAGAAGTGGTAAGTTGGTGTCTCAAAACACGAGGAGAATAAAACCTTGAAAGGATTTGATGCAAACTTGTAATTTGAAAACAGAGCATGTGAATGTTTCTCCTGAATGAGAATTATTAAAGAGTTTTATTATAGTGCTGTTTTACAAATCCATCAAATGTTGAAATGATCCAGAATTACATTTGAATGTTGATAGTTACATGCTTGTAACTTAGGTGTGTACTTTATCTTATAAAAAGAAATACAGACTAAAGAAAATTAAAAATTAAAGCCATAGCAAAATGATTTGCCACATTAAACCATCTAATTTTACTCTGTAACAGTGTTGAGTTTCTTTAGAAAGAATTTCTAAAACTTTTTGCAGGAGGAATAAAAGGATCAGCGACTGTGTTTCTGCTGAGAACAGTGCGCTGTTGGGGAGATCCAAGGTAGTGCCAACTTTTCAGAAAGTCAGTACGGAAAGAGGTAAATGTTAGCAGTCCTCTTTACCACTCTAATAATATTGTTCTAAGGACAGGTTCAAATGACTGCATTATTCATTGCTTTCAGACATGATTTACCAACCGGGTGTCAGTGGAAAGGATTAAATAAAGGTCTTCATCAAATAAACTTTTTCCTCTAAATGCTGTCCATATAAACCCCATGTGGCTTCTCCAAAAAAGCTGATGACCCATGAAAAAACACTCCTCATGTCTGATAAACCCAGTTTCACACATGAACCATGTAAAGCTTTGGAAAGCAATTAAAACCCAGGCTCAGAGTACACGAGGGGGGTGTCGTCTCATCATGGCGCCTGCTCTGACAAACGCTGACAGGTACTGTGATGTGGATGGCTGAGCTTGGATTTATGAAATATTCATTTGCAACACACAGAGCAGGTGGGGGAAGTTTATGTATAATTTAAGGGCTATCTGTATTTATGTTGGACTCTGGGATTCTTGTCGTTTTTCTTTCTGTTCTTTAAAGTAGGAATAATGAAACTGCTTTTTTTCCCCAGCTCGATGTCAGGAAAGGATTTCACAAAACCAGACAATAAAAAGAGTAGAAAGATGTGATGAACCCTAAAATATGAAGAAAAAACTCATAAATAGAGGATTAATTTGAGATGAGAAGAAGCCCTCGCCCCTCCTGTATGCCGACTTCACCCCCACCTTAAAGTAGGAGGCATTATGGTAATTTAAAGGCATAAAAGCAGAGACATTTTCCAAGAGAGACCATTTCATAAAGGCAGCAAAACATAAAGGCAATAAAATACATAAATAATATCATGGAACATAAGTTTATAACCAACTTCAAACATAAACAAGTACATAACAAAACCATTACAGCAAATCAGAAGGAGAATCCACTTCAAAAACAGTCACACTGACTGAGTGAAATCTTCTCTATCTCCAATAAAATCAACAAACATTTCTCTATCGATCAATTCTGACACTTTTAAACCCTTTTGAATTTCAGTAAACAGACATGGCATATTGTTATGGCTAACAACACCTAAATCTTCTCATGCTTTTAACAATATATTTACCAGGGTTTATATAAACCTTAGGTTGACATTACTTCAGACATGGTCAAAACAACCTCATTTTTCTCATTTTCAATGCAGGTTGTAGCTAGAAATCTTGAAGGCATGGATGCTTTTAAGACTTGATCACAAAGTGCACACGTGCCATTATATAGTCAACATGTTTTTTTAGATGGGAATAAAAGAGTTACAGTAAGAAATGCTTCACTATATAATCTGATTATTTTATGAATAGTCAACTCTAATTAGCCGAGTTAAACTTTAATTTGTTTTTGTCTAATTCAAACTTTAACTGTGCAATATAGATCTGAAATTCAAAGTCCGATTGGAAAGATTTTCCATTGCTGATGTTGAGGAAGATAATCACATAAGTGTCATTTGCATATAAATGGAATCTGGCTTTTTGAAACAAATCAAATTTTAACAGAATGCAAAGAGAAGAGCTGTTAGACCTGTGACCTGTCCATGGTGTACTCCAACAAGGTATTTTGGACATTGAGAAGATAGTAAAAAGAAGGAGTCTGAATGGTGGGGCCGGTTGTCTCCTGGCTTACACACGCAGCTGCAGTGTGAGCTGACACTAAACCTGTATGCAGAGTCACAGATTGTTTTGTTTGACAAGGCAAACTAAGTGGAATTAATATAAATCTGTGAGGTAAATAAGGACAAGGAGAATGTCTGCGCCTCAGTCATACAGCACTAACTTTGGCACTGTGCCGCCTGGCTTAAGGTTGGATGGTGTGCCGGGTGCTGATAAGAGGCCTGCTTGGCACAGCAGATCAGACTCCGACTGGGATGTTTTCTGAGTAACAGCATGAAAGATACAGGAGTCTATTCTGCTGTCACGCTTTTATTTGACGCTCTGAAAATATGGAGTGTGTGAGCATGCACATAATGAAAGCTTTGCTTCCGACACTGACCCAGGACAAGATTAAATATAGTTTCTGAAAAAAAAGTCAACCATGCTGAGCCATTTGCTTTGGTGGAAGAGCTACAATTCCTCTGAGCTTTCCCTTTGTTATCAAAGCTGGATTATACTGCAGATACAAGATAGGGGTTTCCTCAGGGGGAAGAAACTCCTAACGGGTCACATTCATCAATAAATAAGGTCAACCAATCAACTCACTACAGAAGATAATTCGTCTTGGAAAACCCTTTCATGTCAGGGCTTACCTTGACAAAGGTGCACATTGATGCTGTGGAGGAATACAACAACATAGTGGGGAGGAATCTGCTGACATTAAGTAATGACAAGCAGGGAAAATGCATGAATGCCTATCAGTCGGGTCCCAAGCGTAGCACAAATAGTGCCTCAGTTGCTTTCTGTACGAGAGCTCTCTCACACTATTGATAAACTGATACTGCACACGTGTGACTGTCAGAGCTGGCTTTTTTTTTTAAAGCCGACAGAATTTGCATTGCATATTATCAATTTAAACCTGAGACAGAGTCTCAGTCCACATTTACAAACCATCACATTCTTCCTATGCATACTAAAACGATGCCTGTCAGCGAATGCAGCATAATCACACCAAGATCTTGGCTTTCTCGCCTGAAGGAAGTGTCATCAAATCACTGACGCATGAGGAAGACAACAACCACTCAGTCCAGAGACGCATACAAAGATCAGAGCATATTATTTTAAATGTGTTCAGCTGAAGGAAATACACTTAACTAAGTTGTAGTTTATGACAAATAGTTTAAACTTATAATAATAATTCTGTTGAAGTTGCGTTTCAGCTACATTTCTTCAGTCACTCTCACATGTCTGTCTGCTAGAATCAAGAGCTTAAGCAGGTGACAGCCAATACAATCTCAGTCAGTCATTGCTGTCCCATTTTGAATGGCATTGTTAAGGTAAAAAAAAACTATTGGTATGTTGGTGAAGGTCAAGATTTATTAGATTTGTTGTTTCCACAATATAATAATTTTTTACTGTGAATACATCTGTCTGCAATTTCAGCAACCTGGAAATGAAATGGGATGGAAAGTGTGGGCAACCTGTTTTAATTTCACAGCTCCTATACCTGTAACTATAAAAAGGTAAAACAAAAAAATAAAAATAAAAAAAGTTCTAACATCTCAGCTCTGCTATTCTGAGAAAATATAAAAAAGAAAATTAACACTTTTAAAACCACTACATTCAGATAAAGAAGCTCCAGAACTAGAAAATTAAAAGCAACACCAATAATACAATATGATTTCAGATTTAGCTTTTCCAATTAACTGCAGAGTCACAGATTTATTCCTCTCAGGGGTTATTCATATGCAGAACAGTATCTGATGAAATCCAGAAGGAACAAGATCTCTGGCCTTGGAAACAGAGGCAGCTCTTAATCTCATTTCAAGGTTGTAATCACATGATTTATGTTTATGGGGGGTAACCGGCAGAGTTGATGTTTAGAATTAGAAGCTTTTTTATTATTATCAAATACCATGAAATAGTAAGTATTAGTTTGTCTAATGGGTTAAAATACAAGAGATAAAACAAGGGACAAAAAGTAGTATTACAACTGCACAGATAAAAGATTTAATTACATAACATATTAGCAATAAAGTGAATAAAATACGCCCATGTGGTCACATAATTACCTTCTGGAGGAAAACCACAATTCTTTGGACCATTTCAGCTCGCTGCTCCTCCAGGCTGAAGAGAGTACGCGGCGTGCGGATGAAGACCTTTGTTTTGCCATAAGCCACATCGTGGTCAAACTTGCAGCCCTGCAGAAGCTTCTTAACGGCATCTTTGTCTGATGGCAGGTCATGGTTGGGCCATGTAAACTCTGAGATCATCTTGTATCTAAAGAAACCAAAGCGAAGACGTGAAAAACAGCAGCATAACTGCTCCAAAGCTACATTTATGATTATTTTTAATCTACTATTTTAAACTATTTTAAGTTCACTCTATAGCGGTATTGAAATAAATGCAAGTCACAATTTTTTGATTTTTATTAGCGGAAAAAACTGTTTTGGTCTGTCCTGGCAACAACATTGGAAGTTTACAGCTGTAAAATGAGAAAATTTGGAGTTCAGGGTGAATAAATGACTTTCAAGGGCAGTCAAGATGACTTTTTATTAAGAAGTTGATTTTGTAATGTGAGGTTCTGTTCATTTTAAATAAATAATTGTTAAACAGTGCAATTTATTATTTTTTAGACGTTTACTCTGTTTTTGTCTAACTTTTAGTATTTTATTTGCTGCTAAATACAGATCAAAGCTTGATCAAATGATATTGAGCCATTTTTTGGTAACATACAAATCTTGGGAGACAGTAACTGCCTCTTAGAGTTGCAGGTAAATGAGTTTGAATCAGGGTGTAAACATGCTTCTGATAGCATGAGACTGGGGATATAAATGTAAAAAGAAATTTTAAAAGATATGTAAAGTTAAAAGAAAAGTGCAGTTTTTTTTTTTTACCAAAGCCATTCTAAAAATAGCCATTAATATGCTGTCATCAATAGTTGTCTACACAAATTACTTTTATCTAAAAGCCACTAGAAGACTGTGGTTGCTGGAAAATTACAAACTACAACAAAATAATGATGGGGTTCTTTTGAAACACCTGGTGTGGACGAGTTGGTAGAGTAGGAGCTGAATATCAAGGTTATGATACAGACATTAACACAGTGGTTCCCAAAGATTTTCTTCTGGGGCCCCCTATGGATTACAATAACCCCCCGCCCCCAGAAAAATAAAAAATAAACTGGGCACACACATCGTTCAACCAGACATAAACCTATACACATTTTGTTTTCAAACTCCACTGAAGTGTATATCACACTTCAGATTTAAACAAAACACACTACAAACCATCTTTACAGTGAAACACTTTTGTGTAACTGTTCTTTTTTCATTGATCCATACTGCTTCCCCCAACCCCCTGCAATGGCACTGCACCCCCACAGGGGGTGCGCCCCACACTTTGGGAACCACTGCATTAACACTCCACAGTCAGTGTAAAGCCCATTGATTATTCATAGTATCCAAATCTGTGATGGTCATACAAGGAAGGAAAGGCTGGACAACATGGCCTAAAGTCAATATCATGATAAATGAAAGTGTTCACCTTGATAACAATAAATGAACAATGAATAAAAGATTAAGACGCTATTGTATAGTTTATTGAAAGACGGCCTCTGTAATTCTTTTAACCCCTTAACTCATCCATGGGACGAATCTAGTTTGCTTGAATATTCTGCCTTTTTCGCCACCAGTTAAGGAGTTAAGGCTGTTATACCTCTGCAGAAATCGTGGATATGTCTGTCTGTAGGCGAAGCCGGCCCGACGCACTCTGACGTTCTCCAGCAGGCCGAGATACTCCACCTGGTGGCGGCAGCGTTCGGGCTCAAACAGAAGAGGAGATTTGACGTCGTTGGGCTTGATGCAGCGGACGTAGTAGGGTTCCTGTGGATTATAGAAGACAGAAGGTTAACAAAAAGTCATAAACCAGACACATTTTAATCCGTCACATTGTAATAGAATAGCGTACAATGTGATTGACGCTAATACTAGAAAGCTAATGGAAAGTTCAAAATTAATCTTTGTTGCCCCTTTCTTTGGGATATCAAAATGGCTGATCCATTGGACCCTGCAACTTTTTATCCTGTATGTGGTTCAGTGTGGTCCTACTGACCCCACATGTGTTTTTTTTTTTCTTTGGTGTAGTTTTGAGAACTAACGGTCTGACAGTACAATACAATCTGATTATTTTTATGTCCTAAATTTTATGCTATCCAACAATGTGCTATTTTTGTTTGCAAGGATTAAGATCAGTTATAATAGCTGTGGAATTGTTTTGGATTTGTCCCACCATCTTTCACAGAGTTCACATTTTGTTCATGAAATTGGTACAACTGATCCTGACTCCTCACCTTGCTGGCAAGGTTCTCCACCAAAGAAATCATGGAGTTTTTGAAGATTGTTGCTGCTGTCAGCGGCCGTTTGGTGACCTCTGTAATTCTCAGTTTGCCCTCAGGCCACATCCCCTTCAGTACTGGATTGGAACTATGAAACAAAAGAAAAGCACATAAGAAAATTGAAGAGATTGATGAAAGAGGCAAAAATACTATAAAATACAAGTCAACCTTAAGTAATAAAATTATTTGTTGTGTAGTTAAAAAAATGCACCATATGGTCTCACAGTTACCTACAATCAAGGCAACAGTTTAAATCCAGTTCTTGATTTATTCAGTCGACTAAAAATAAAAGCTGCAGCTTCCAGCTTTTATGTATTCTGACGCCAACACAACTTGTCTGAACCAACCCTGAAATTTCTGTTCATGCCTAAAGGCATTTTAGCAAAAAGAACAAACTTATGTTAAGCATCCTTTGTAAAATCACTCAAATCCCTTAAACCTTTTACATCTTTGTTTCTGTTTTCATTGTTATGGTGCATAAATTAGACTCAAACATTTGAGAAAAACAGTCTGCCATACGTGAGATTATTTTTGATTTAAAATAGTTTTTTTAATGGGCTTAAAATATAAGTCAACATGTGATTAATTTGGACCAATTGATTTAGATCATTGGTAAAAAAAAAATGCACTAGCCTTTGGATGAATATCATACATTCTCTTCAAAAAAAAGTTTGAACCTGTCAATAGATTTACATATCAGAAAGTAAATTTCCAAAGTACTAAAATACCTCCATTTGGTAGGAAAAAGAATAACTTTACTCAAGGTTGTCATAATGTGGGTATGTGGTAATATTCCATGCGTACATTGAAAGATCAGAGATATTTTTAGATTAGGAAACTTTATTCAGCTACAAAACTATTAATTTTTTTCTATTCTATTAGTCTATTAATTTTCCAAATATTTCCTTTAAAAGCTATGAACAATTGAAATGTACACAGTGCACACGTGATTTTTAAGGATTTATTATGTCATATTTGCCAGAACAAACTGAGGTTTAGAGAGTGTAGTGTTAGATAAATCTGAGGAAAGTCTTTGAATTGAAAGTGCAACAAGAGATATAAATAGAATGTGAGAAAGTGTTAAAAGGTGTGCATCACCTGTTGTACAAAAGCCTCTTAAAGTCTTGGAACAGGGTGTCTTTGTTCTTATCAATAAAGCCCACCACTGAGTACCTGTGAAAAGAAAATGTCTGGTAAATACACATGACGCTCACTTTAATGTTCGGACATACTGTCCATCTTGCTGTTCTTTACCACCATCAATTACACAAATTGTGGTCATTAAAATAAAATGAGACCTTTTCAGCTTTGTTCTGCCAGTGTACAGAATGTCTGGTGCTCATGTACATCTTTAGATGATACACTGAGTAGGTGAAGGAGCTCCATAAGTAGACAAGCTGTTATAATCCACGCTGCGAGAGCTTTAAGTCTCCTGCCTTATCCAACTGTGGCACTGGGATCAATCAAGGTTTGGCCGCCTGGCCCTGCTCCCCTGGGAACCAGACACTTAGCCTTCACAAATAGGCTCTACACATTTCCATGAGAACCCTTATGACGGTTCTTAGTGTGTGTGATTTAATCATATAAGTCATGTTCAGGTGCTGTGAGTGACTGAAAACAGGTCCCAACAAGCAATGAAGATGTTACTCTTGACCTACAAAAAAACACTGTTAAAAATATTAGGTAATGCTTAATACAGTTTTTTTTTTTTTTAATGAAGGCATATACAAGTACATCTCAATAAATTCATTTACAATTGAAAAGTCAATTTAGCTTCCTTGGTTAGACAAAAATCTACAGAAACAAATGCCTTAAAGAAATGTTCCCCACGTGTCATGAAACAAAAATAGTATGTTATTAAATTAAATTGCTGAAATAAAACATTCACATTTTTAATTTATAGAGAAGCATGTTTGTCACAACAACAAAAAACAACTGCAACCAAAGATATATTAGATTCCTATATCAAAAGAAACCGTATTGAAAAAAAATTATTTCTCTTCAGAGAATGGTATGGACAACGTAACCTGGTTTAATAAAGTCTATTTGGTTAAAATCTACTTTAAGAAGTCTGAATGAGAGGGCCTTTAATAACCTCAATCTTTTTTCTGGAACAACTTAATGTTCTCAGCTTTGGTTCCAGTCAGCAGCTCTGAGACATAAATGCATCAAAGAGTAGAAAAAGTGATAAATCATCAGTAAAAGCTTTCCCTAAATAAGTAAAAAAAAAAAAAGAAAGACACTTACGCCACATCCCCTGCATAGTGCCTGATGCGAAAGTCTCTGTCAAACTCCAGACTCTTATCAGTTGGTGAGAGCTATAAAGAGAAACACAAACATAAAGTGAACAGAGCTCCATAGAGCTGGATATATACTGCATAAAAGTCTCCTCAGTCTAAATAAAAAGAAAATAAAGCAGAGTGGAAATAAATTGTCTCATATAAAATTTAGACTATTCTGTATAGATTTTAGAGGGTAATATTCTAAATGTAACCAAAATAGGTTCAAATATTAATCAAAGGACATTTCATTTGTCTGCATTCAGATTGATTGGTTGTACATTTATTGTAATTTGTATGGTTGTTTTTAAGTGTGTGTATCTACACATTTGAATATGATTAAAATCTTAACATTTGATTTCAGTTATTTAATGTAAACTGAGCCACAGCACAGTCTAAATATGACATAAGAGGGGAAAAAGATGTGTTAGCCAAAGAAATATGGATTTTTTTTGTTAAAATTGATCAAAGTTTACAATTATGTACAGTCAAAAATGTAATCATGTATTTGTGAATATACTGTCTGAGTTCAGGGATATTTTTCATCTTTTTGTATACTATATATTTTATAAGATCATTGAGAGCACGGTTCACATCCCTCTTTTTCACAGGTTGGATCGATGGTTTACGTGCACATTTAATGGGATTAATAAGTATGAAAAGGATACATGGATTTATTTATGCAAAAATTGACAAAAATATCAGCTTTTTTTTGAATGTCAAATATTCTTTAGGAGATTAAAATTTTCAAAAGCTTCTGTATCTTAAATTTGACTCAGCAACCAAGCCCAGTCAGCAATGCTTTAACACAAACTGAGCCAGAAGGACCGATGAGATTCTTATTTCCTGTGACATAAAGGCAGCTTTACCAGAATAGAGAAAGAGGAGACATGTTTTGGTTGCTCTATTTCACCCTCTTTCATACAAACTGGCGACAAACCTGGTGCAATTTCTCATCAATCCAAACACCTTATTTCACCCCCTTAAACAATCAGGCTCAGCGGGACTCTTTTCAAGTCCAAATTAATTTACTGTCAAAGGTTTGTGCCAAGTCTACTTTAAAACAAAGCGTCAAGTCATCGGTGGCCCTTTGATCATAACTCTTCACAAGTCAAGCTGTGATGGCTAAACTGAGTGTCCAGAATGATTTGCAGCGCGATGAGCATTACTGACACAGCAAACCCACTGGTGCAAGAAACACAGAGGCTGTCAGGTTTGATTAAGTCCCACAGTAAAAGAGCAAGAGGACAGAGAGGAACATGCATCAATGTTAGGAAGTAAATTCAAAGCCGGGGGGCAAACTGAGACAGCAAGAGGAGGACTGAAGAAGACCGAAGAGGAGAAAATAAAAGTAATTTGACAGGTGGAGACATCAAGGGGGAAAACAAAGGTAAGGAAGAGTGTGATATTGAAACCTGTATGGGAACATGTGAGGAGAGCAGAGGACAGAGTAAGCAGGGAGAAGGAAAATAACAGCAAATGGGAAGAGAAGAAAATATGCATAGATATAGATATATCTATGGATATCTATCTATCTATCTATATATATATATATAAATCTATAGATATCTCTCTCTCTCTCTCTATATATATATATATAGATATATAGATATATATATATATATATATATATATATATATATATATATATAGATATATATATATATATATATATATATATATCTATATATCTATATATATATATATAGAGAGAGAGAGAGATATCTATTTGCATAACTTCAACTTCCTCTGTGTCTCTATGTAACTCACTGATGTCTATATTTATATCTCTATAGATATATGTATATATATCTATAGATATATAGATATAGACATATATATATATATTAGGACATCAACGTTTGATATCCATTGAATTGAGTGAAATTTGTAAAGATTAATTAGATGGAAGCTTTCATTCAAATTAATTTAAATTATTATGGATTAACAGATAAGAGTACATGGTTCAGTTTATCATAGAAAATTTTAATTTCATAAGACCAATCCATATCTAATGTAATTTAATAGGTTTAGGTGATATATGCTAAAATAAATTACAAGCTTCTACAGCCATGTTAATAGTTATTTAGAGGCTAGTTCTGTCAAATCAGCTGTTACAAAATGTTCCATTAGTTTCTGAAAGTGATGAATGACTCATCGGTGTGCTAAGAGCTCTTAGACCTTAACAAGAAACACAGACACACAAGCAGCAGTGTATAAGAGGAAATTCTGCAAACATAATAAGAGCATCAGATTTATTTTAGACAGCTGAATGAACCAAGTCCAAGGCCCAAATCAAAAGCACGAAGGGGCTGAAAGTAAATCTTTGACGAATCTGAGAAAAACTCCTGGTGGAAATCAAAAGATTATTTACCTCCCTGGCAAAAAAACAAAAAAAGAAATCTGCTGAGACACAAAGCTGGTTCCAGTTACTGTCAACAAGAGTTTGATGAGGAAACAAAAGAAATGTGTGATTGCCTGTGTGTATAAGTGAAAGAGATGGTAATTAGAGAGTTGTTATAATCATAAAAGTCTGGCCCCATTACAAGACGATGGAGCCTGTTATGATGGGATTGGCTTGAGTCTGTGCATTTTCACTCTGACTGAATTCATTGCTTTCAGTGAGAGTTAAGAGGTTCTTTCAAAGGGATTGTAGGTTGATGCACATTATTATTCATGTTTAGTTTAGTCATTTTGCAAGACTCAAATCTTCACAGTTAAATGTTTTATACCCTCTTGGACAAAAGAAGGAATTTCACTATTAGTGTATTACAGGTATTTATACAGAAGTCAGGCTTTAAATTTGAAACACAAACTGCAAGAAGATGCTGGACGGACAAACGGATAAAGTGAATGGACACTTTCAAACCTGATAAATGGATGAAAGGAAACGAATAAATTGATTGATGGCAAATGAAGATAGTAGTGAAAAGGCAGAAAAGATTGAATAAATAAAGTGCTAAATAGTCCCTTTGACATACATCCATGTCAAAGGGATGGACATATGGGACAAACAGATGAAAGGAACGATTGGACGGATGACGGACAGATCTATTAGCAATGCATTTTAGACAATCGGACAGAGAATAAAGCTTGCAAATACAAATATTTCTCTATAGTTATACATATGTTAAGAATGTTCAAATTAAACTAAAGACTACTGCACTAAATACTCCAGACTGCGCAATACAATGTGTTCCTCTGACCATTATGTCTGAGCAACAACAAAACAAGAAACCTACAATGAAGTGCAACTTTTGCTGTATTCACACAAAAACTATTCATATGTCACCTTCCTATTGTGATATTTTAAATTTCAAACATTTCCTCCCTAAAACTATTGAACAATTGCTTCATAATTCACTAAGTTATCATAATCAAAACCCAATTTCTTTACTGTGTGATGCTGACAAACCCTCCAATAAACAACCATCTTGGCAGGAAGCCAGATACTAAAATCAAGTTTTAAGACCACCTTGAAAAATGCTTTAAAAGTGATTTGGACTTTTTCAGTCATTTCAGGTAGTCTTTGTAAGAAAAATATTAGCTCTGTGAAGTCTTGCATACCACAGTGGTGTATCCATTAAATTTAGGATCATTTTTTTATTCTGGAATGATCCATAAAGCTGAGTTTAGTGATTGAACAAGCACACATACTTCTTGAAATGGTCAAAAAAGGGATTTTAATGTAGAATGTTATTATCAGAAACTTTTACTCTTGAAACAGGAAAGCCAAATGTGATTTCCAATGAAGACAATGAATTTAGCAGGTAATTATAAATAAGAGACAAAAAAACCCCTCCACTTTCTCTGGCAAAATATACACAAAGAAAATATGTAAAACTTGTTTTTATTGCTTTCTGTTTATTCAGAAAGTTGTTTACAGATTTATTTCTCTTTTAAGCAGTAATCAGGAAAAGGACAGACAGAGCAGACGAGCAGATGCTCTCTCAGACAGGCAGACTGCATCTGCTGGACGCCACACAGTGCCCTCATCCAAAACAATCAGTCACACTCCAACACACACCTCAGAAACAAAGCTTGGCATCTTCATTATTAGCACCTCTTCTGTGATTTGGACTCTGGCCATGATCAATGTCAGGCTGTATATGTGTGTCTTTCATTGTATGACAGGGTTACTACACATTTTTAATTTATAAAGTTTAGATTTTCCCGACTTACATTTGAGGATTGTGTCATTTGGTCTAACTGTTTGAATGATCATTTGATTTATGTTTCCTGGGGCTCATAATCAGTACGTGGCAAGCATGAAAACTCCATAACTATAGATAAAACCTGTTTTATGGCCTGAAGCGCAACAACCTGTGATGCTGTTTCAGCAATTCTGTGGATTTTCAGTCAACAAATTAAGGAACAAAGACACTGTTGCTGTGTGAAGGGGTGCTGTGGATGAACATAAGCAATCAGTGACTATGGCTAACAGTAGAATGGGCAATGTCAAAAAATGTTTTGTTTTTGGTACTAGATATTTCAATGTTATGAATGATAATGGAAAACCAGAATATCTTAAAACAGCTTTTGTGATTTGTTCTTTTGAAGACCAAGAGTGAAGCTAACAATAATTATTCAGAAACTAGTCTTACTACAGATAAACTAGTCATCACCAGTTTATCTAAAATTAGCAGAAACACAGACATTGACGAAGGCTGTTGCCTTCAACTTCTTCTGTGTCTCTATGTAACTCACTGATTGGTTACCTAACAACAACCTGTTGAATAACTTGCACAGCAACAGTTTCATGTTTTGACATCATGCCCCATAACTGCTTAAAAAAAGAAAAAGGAAAACTATGTGGACTGAATGGAGAAAATAAGTACAACAGCTTGAGATAAAACTGGATAAACAGCCACCAGAATTTCAGCTATTTAAAACAAAAAAAATATTCAATAACTAGTGATATCGACTGATATAAAACCCTAATACAATATAGTGATGTATTTTTCAGCCATATAGCCAAGCCTGAAAATAATCTAGTATTTTCATTAGTTCTTAGTCACATAAAATTTTAAAGAACACTT